TAGCCCAGGCTGGCCTCGAACTCACAGAGATCCACCTGGCTCTGCCTCCCGAGTGCTGGGATTAAAGGCGTGCGCCACCACCGCCCGGCTTACTTTTCTTCTCTTAAGAGACTTTATTTTATTATTTTTAAACTATTTGTTTCTTTTTATGACTGTCTACATCCTTTTTCTTCCTTTCTTAAGCCTAAGTACATTGTAAAACACATTGGAATCTGTTTAGAGGTTTTTCTGTCTGGACCTCTTTTACTGCCTATCTTCTAGTCTTTTTTGACTTTGTGAGAAAAAAAACCCTAAATTCTCCATGCAGCACATGGCTGTGCTCTCAAGCCTGCAGACAGTGACTGAAAAAAGCCTCTTTATCATGGCCCATGTAAGAGGTTGTGGGGACCACCCCCATGCAGCTTAGCTCATGGTGGTTGGTGGCCAGCTCCATCTCTCAGGCAATTGTCGGAGAGACACATTTCTGCACTGCTGCTGGCATGAGACTGTGAGAGTAAGGAGCCCAGTGTAGCTCCATTTCTATACATTCAAAACCATTTTTAAGTTTTCTCAGGTCTTATGTAGATCCACAGTTGGACGGTGGGCACCATATGTAATCAGAGGCTTTTCTTTCTTCTGCCCTGTCCTGCAGCCATTGCCAAATAATCACTCAGAGGCTTCTATTAATTATAAATGTTTGGCTGATGGCTCAGGCTTATTACTAACTAGCTCTTATATTTAAGTTAGCCCATTTCTATTAATCTTTGTATCACCATGTGGCCCATGGTTTATTGGTGCTCTAGCACCTTGCTCCTTTGGTGACTGCCAGTGGCTGTCTCACTCCACCTTTATCTCTGTCTTCAGTTTGATAGTACTGCCTAACCTTATTTTGCCTTGCCATTGGCCAAACAGCTTTATTTATCAACCAATGAGAATAATACATATTCACAGCATACAAAAAAGTCATCCCACAGCAGACAGGCATCAAAACTGGAAAGGAATAAGGAAAACTAGCTTGATTATAGATAATATGAACATCCTAAAGAATCCACAGAAACAACAGACAACAAATGAGTTTATTAAACATGGGTTATGGTTGTCTATTTATCAAGTTGGCAATCTTGAATCATTTGACGAGGGCATCTCAGTCAGGGATTGCCTAAGTAAGGTTGGGTTATATGTGTGTCTGTGGGGGTTATCTTGATTATGTTAATTGAAATAGAAAGATGTGGCCACAGTGGGTGGCATCATTCCCTGAGCAAAAAATATTATATTAAGAGTAGAATGTGAGACAGTAGATATGGGCCTTTTGCTTCAATTTCCTGTTGGCTTTCCTTTCCCACAGTGATGAACTAGAATTATAAGCCAAAGAAAACCTTTTACTTTATCAAGATATTTATCTCAGCAAGAGGAAATGATGCAAGGACAAAGCCTAAGATCACACAAGAATCAGTTACATTTTTATATATTATTAATAAACAGTCTAAAAAGTAAATTAAAAAAATCACCAATGACTTCTTAATGAAACACTATGATTCTCTGTCAGAAAGGGCTACACAAGTGTTTTAAGTCTGTAAGTAGGGCAAGTCAGAGCCCTAAGTTTGGTCCCAGACAGGGTTTCTTAGCCTTCAATGGATTGGAAATGGCTGATAAATAACTAAATTTCAGTGTCTCTTATGTTGACTAAGTTGGAGGTATGTTTATACTGTTTCCAAAGTCATTGAGGTTGCTAATTCCTCTTTCCTATAATTGCAGACTGAAGAACATTTTTCCCCTCACCCCTTCCCAGACTCCTTCACTCCCATCCTTCACCCTCTAGATGACTTTGCAAATAAAAGCGTCAAGCACATCAACTTTCCTCTCAGAGTCTGCATTGAGGAAATGTAGTGGAAGTTACCTTAATGTTAAATCCTTCCCTCTCACCTCTGGACATTCTACTTCTTTCTTCCAACCATATTTCACTCATTTAGACAGAAAGAATTATGGTAAGGGTTAGAACTGAGTTTGGGGCTGTCAACTCAAGTCTTTTGCCAAATCTATTTAAATTTGTACATGTCACTGTCAAAGCAGATCTGAAATTAGCAAAGAAGAAACATGTTTCTGTAGCATGATCACACAGGGGAAGGAACTGTTACAAGACAGGAAGGGAGAGTATCTCAGAGGGGTGAATGATGCAATCATGACATCTGCAGGTTATCTCGCAAGTTAAGAAGAAGAGAACTTTTCTTTTTATTATTATTTAAAATATCATTTATCCTCTCCTTTCCCTCCCTCCTATCCCTTCTACATCCAATCCCCTCCCCCAAATTCATGGCCTTTCCTCTTTCTTCATTGTTTTTCATGTAAATACAAATAAATGAAGACGTAAACACAGCCTGCTGAGTCCATCCGGTGCTGTCTGCACGCCTGCATCCATGTCCCTCGGACGCTTTCTTGTGTATGAAGGAGTTGGTAAAGCTGAAAAGAATGATCACAGGAAAGTGGAGCGAGTCAGGCTGAAAATGGAATGAGCTGACTTTGAACTGTGATCAGTTCTAGGAAGATACAGTTTCACTTTCTCTGTGGGAAGATATGAGGTAAGACATCAGTAAACATCTATTAGCAAACAAAATGCCCAAATTCAGCACTTTTCTCACGGCCATAACAAAGTACCGGAGGAGAAGCAGCAAAGGGAAGAGCTGTTTTTATCACGCTTTGAAACTGTACTCCATCACCACTGGGAATGTGGCCCCGGAAGTGACTCTCGGGTGTGCTGTCAGAGCAGGAGCCAGGGGCCTACTCCATCACCACTGGGAATGTGGCCCCGGAAGTGACTCTCTGTGCTGTCAGAGCAGGAGCCAGGGGCCTACTCCATCACCACTGGGAATGTGGCCCCGGAAGTGACTCTCGGGTGTGCTGTCAGAGCAGGAGCCAGGGGCCATACTGTCCCACAGTTTGGAAGCAGAGAGGTGAATGCTGCTGCTGCTCCCTTTTTATACGATACAGGCCCTCGTCCCTGAGACAGTCTCACTTATGTACACTCAGGACGTGTCTTCTCTCCGTTAAACAGCTCTGGAAATGCCACACCTACATGCCCAGAATTTTGTCACTTTGTTTTACCAGAAATTTTGGGGGAGTTCTGCAAGAGTTACCACAAATAACTAGGGAAATTGGGTTCTCAGTCTTGATAGTAAAAGAATGTAAGACTGACTTAAGAAAGCTGAAGGACAATTTTATTTGTGTTCAAAAAAAAGAGAGAGGGGAAAGGAAGGAAGAAAGGGGGAGGGAGGGAGGAAGGGAGGG